GTAAGAAAAAGATTATACTAGCTACTTTAAAACTATTTTTAATAGTCTTTAGTTTAAAAGCTTTAATTTATATAAAGGATATACTTTAAGAAAATTAAGTTTATTAATATAATTAATCCTAATATATATTTTTATCTTAATTAGTTAGTTATATAATTATTTCAATATTATAAAATAACTAATATCTAAAGATTATAAAAGATAGGATAAATAAACTAATATATAAATTAATATTATTTTATTTTACTTATAAATTTAGTTAAATTAAAGTATTAAATAACTTCTATAATTATTAAATATTAAAAGCTAATATCCTATTTTTATATATAAAGAAATATTAGGAATAAAAAGCTTTTTAAGTTAATAAAAGTTAATTTTATTAAAAGTCTAATTATTAAAACTAATCTTAAAATATTAATCTTTTAAAAAGTTATTAAACTATAATTTAATAAAGACTTTACTTTTAAAAATTATATATAAAAGAAAGGCTTAGCTAAAAGTATATATATATTTAATAGTAGTTACTTACTTTTAATTTTTAGGTTATAAGAATAAATACTAATTATAATATTTACCCCTTATAATAACCTTTATAATTATAATTAATTTTATTATAAAACTAGTCTTATTAAAATTATAAATATTATTAAGATTAATACTTTTTAAGAAAAAGATCTACTATTTCTTATATTATAGAGAGTTAGGGGGCTATTCTATAAGAATCTATAAAGAGAATCTATTTTTAAAGAGAATCCTCTTCTATTTCTATTAATTTAGATAAATTTAGATAAGAAATTATATAGCTTTATACCCCTTTAAGGTAGCGGTAGAGGGTAGTTTTAGGTATACTAAAACAGTATATTACTTTATAAATTAAAGAGATTTCTTAATTCTTAATAGCCTAGATTACTAGTAAGATCCTACCCTCTTACTCTATTAAATTTCTAGAGCTTTAAGAGCGAATTGGTAGTATGGTGGGTGGTTGAATTAACTAAGATCTAATTCATAGACGCGTTTTGGATAGGGTGCGCTACTCGCTTGCGTGCGCCGCTCGCTTGCCGAATACGTTAATCGGTAAGCAAGTTGGCCACCAGTCGAAAGCGCGTCCATTAATTAGCACTTACTCAATTCAACCACCTACTGTGCCACCAATTCGCGCTAAATTTTCAGCAGAACAAAATGGAAGGATATTACTAGATAGATAAGCTATTAAAAAAAAAGAAAGATGGTCTATATCCCTTGCTACTTGCACTTTCATAATCTATACACCCGTATATTTATCTTATCTTTGATAGTCCGACTCCCCTTCCAAGGTTCGAGTCGGGGAAAGTGATTAGAACCCAAAAATACACTCAAAATATAGATATTTACTATGTAAACTTTATTAATTAAAGATTCTTACGTACGAGACCCCGGAGCCCTCCGAGTCTACTTAGAAGTTAATGAATACGACAAATCAGGTTTTAAAAGGCGTGCTAAGTCACAATACAGTCAGCTGCTTTTCTCGGGAAAAAAAGTAAACGAACACGTGTTATAAACGAGAAGATGAAGCAAAAGCGCTCTAGATCTCGAAGATAAATACCTTCCACCAGGGCCTTTCAATTTTACATGCATTAGCATTAATTACGTAGCTGGAGGAATTAATTAGACCCCCGAATTACGAGGAACCAACAAAGCCTTCGCCCCAATTATACCCTTGAATTAGGTGGCGAGGCCGAGATGGGACAGTAAAGCCACTATGATAAATGCCCCAGCGAGCTAGGCCAGGTCCGGTATAGAGCAGTATCTCGGGTGCCTAGATCAACCTTTAGGTCACCATCACACTGCCGTCTACAACTCCCGAACTCTAGGTGGGACTGTATTCTGGAGAGAAAACAGGGTTTTCTGTTCAATATCTGTTTGACAGTTACCAAAGGATTCGTACCTTGATTTTCAGGTCCAATCGAGCATAAAGTCCGCGTCATGCATGCTTTATCTCTATCAAAATCACTTACGCAAGATGTGTCCCTTCAAGTTTCCCATATTGGCCAACTTTATAATGAGCGTTGCGTGTCACTGCTTATTGGTCAACTTTATTATCTTTGCATTGAGGCAGTAGACATGAAATAATAGTAACTATTTAAATTCTCTTGTCACTGACCATTTGAAAACTTTTGTCTCCTTAGTCTTCCCCTTGTATTACAAAACGCTATAGCAGCGTCCAGAGAAAATTCAACAGCTGTACATTTGTATTGGATTCATTGGAACGGAAGAGGGTATACACAGCATGTGATCGATGTCGCCTAAAAAAAAGCAAAGTATGCATGCTACCGTCAAAAAAATGAAGTGCAAGCATCTAGGACCAAGCTGATCTTATCGAACACAGTGTGATGGAGATAGTCCATGTTCACGATGTCAGACAAACAATGCTCCCTGTGTCTTTGTGAAGAGACGGAAAAGCAATAATAAAGTATGCCCCAAAGGGTAAGTACAGCGTTCACCTCATTGGTAATCACGTATAGGTATTCTTACTAACTCATAGGTATATCAAATAGATATGCTGGGCTACTCGAGCATCAACAAGCCTGCTTAATTCGGGGGCTTCAGGAACTATATCGGCGATCCACTGAAGAAAGAATCTGCCCGCGGAATATTTTGAAATCTGGACCCAACGGTCGCCCTCTCACGCACGACCTGCTCACCCTTCTCATTCCACTCGACCATGCCGACAGCGATAATTCCGAAGAAACCTTAAAGTAAGACTATTCATGTCGCAAAGCTGGAAAAAATTTTAATGAAATTTGGGAATGAGGCGCCAAGGACGCCCGCCCCCCCGAGCGTTTCATCAGAAGACATCAGTGACCGTTCTATTCCGTGCAACTCACTTGCATATAGTCCCATTATGTGTCAGCCTGACATCGACGCCAATTCCCAGGTATCTGCTAATTTACCACCTACCAAGTGGACCACGGCGTTTCAGCAGGGTAGTTCCCGAGAATTCCAGCCCAATCCACAACAAGAATCGGCCAACGTTCAGCTCAGCACGCTCATCGAGATGGACTTGATGACTATGGACGATTTTGCGTTTTGGTCCCTATAGGATTGGCAAAAGTTTACAACATCATACGTTTCCCAAGCCGCGATGATTGGCATGCATACGGATGTATGTATGGAGCCAATGAGTAGTAACAATTATTCGGGTCTGCTCTTCAACGTGGATCAAAGACCAAACAAATTGGGATAGAATAAATTTATCTTTGCTGCATGCGGGAGCGATTGAATATATGTTGTAGATATGGTGTATTTTTGAACTTCCCCTCTTCCCTTCATTCCTTGGGCCATATGGCATGTTCAACTCTTGAGATTGGTCTCATGTCGCCGGGTTTTTACATATATCTATGGGGCTGGTGGTTATCCTAACAGCCTTTTCTTCTTTCTCCTGGTACCAATTGGCTTACAACTTGCACAAATAGATCAAGGAATTCGCAACTCCAGTCCCAACTCTACCTAGGTAGAGGGTAGTGTACCCAGGAACGAACGCTCAACTCAAACAATAGACTGCCATGAACCAAGGCTGTAGATGAAAGATGAATCGATACCTGTTTTTCATTACTTTCTCGGCACCGAGGCATGTTCAAGACGGGTAACTACCTCGGCTCCACCTTGCCCAGCTGGACTCCCCACAAACAGGCATGTGGATTATGTATTTTAGGAGTTTAGCTTGTACCTTTTATACGTGAGCCCGCAATAGAAGATACGAAGATACTTAAAAATAGAACAAAATGGTATTGTGCACAAAGCTACAATTGGAGAGGACAGACCCATAATCACTATGTGAACATTATAGTTCAAGGCGTTGATGGGGAATACTTAGATGTGGCCTCGTCACCGTAACGAAGATATTGCCCCTGAGCAGGTGACCGGCGATGTTCATTGGCTGCTTCTCTCTCGCATGAGAACCCACATTGATCCGGATATCCCCATATAACTCCGGATTGGCATGGCTTTGAAAGCTTTGCCAAATGGCTAAACAGCGACTCAGTGTTAAGTGTTATTCGGCGAGTGTAGGACTCACATTGGTGGGGCTCAAATTAGCTTGCCAAATCCACAAGGGCTGTCCCCACTATCTCAACTTAAGGGATTGCATTTCCATCGATTGATCCTACGAGATGCTTTGGAATATCTGGGTTGCAACACAAAAGAAATCAGATGACTTAGTCGATGGTTGATATTTCCACCGGACTTCAACTCGTGCCATTGTCAAAATAGTAATGGATGATGCGATTATGCGATGATGTCCTGAACCCCATCCCAACTCCAGGGCTTTAGCCCACTATGCCTTGCCTCGAGAGGCAAAGTTGCCATGTTGTAAAGAGTTTGCGGCCTGGGACATCTGCCTCTCTGTAGATCTCTCTTCTTGCTATCTCTGTTCAGCGGCTAGTGTGGATACATGCCTGATTCTCCCTTTGCCTCTTCGTCATAAAGACTCCCCCACTCCCCCACTGCCGTATTTCCCCACTTAACCATTCACCTTATCCCTTGCAGAATCAACCACCCTATAGCCTGTCATTCGTCACAAAACAAGAACAGTGAATCTCTTAGCTCCCAAGGTAGGTAAAATTTTCTCTTATGAGGGTTTTCATTGTCAATAATCCGCTTGTAAGGCATTTTAAATAAGTCAAAGATTTTGACAAGGAGGCAAGGACTACGCGTGTGGTCTGTCCTCAATTCTGCGGACGAATAAAGCCTGTTTATAACTGTGGGGAGCTCGCTTGCTCTGTGGGTGGGAATCTAGACTAGTCCAAAACAAGGGGGGTGCTAGTGGCAAACAAACTCACGGATGTAAATAATGCGTGTGAATTAGCTTCTTAAGAGTCCTGGAGGTGGCTATTTGCTCCTACTAGTACCAGTACATTCCCTATCTCATTGTGGCTAGAGATTACGCTGTCTCTGAATTCTGTACTTTACCGTTAGGATTTTCTCAGAGCAATCACTCGGAGAGAAGCAGGCACAAAGTGACCATGACCCCGAACAACACCGGAGATATGGATGATGTCTTACCAAAAGAGCAAGCGATGCATGTTGAGGATAACTCGAGACCTGAAATATCTCGAGAGCACCGCGAATATCTGCTTCAGCATCATGGAACACTTAAGTTGAATCCCTTGCCATCAGATGACCGGGCTGATCCTTTAAACTGGCCCAGTCGGAAGGTACGTGAGATCCGGCAGTGTCAACACAACTTTAACATCTGCTCATGTGTTGTTCTTAGAAACATACCACCTTGCTGCTGGTGGCTTTTCACTCCTTCATGGCCAATTTCATTGGAGCTGGCGTGATTCCTGCCTATGACACCTTCGCCGATATATTTGATGTGTCAGTTCAGGATGCCAGTTATTATACATCCGTTGTGGTATGTTTTTAGCCAAACAATGTCCGATGATACAGCATTCTCATCATATCTTCACCCGTATCAGATTCTTTTCACTGGCATCACTCCGCTGTTCTGGAAACCTCTCTCAGACCGGTTTGGCCGTCGTCCCGTGTGGCTAGTGTCAACCCTGGGTGCTTTGATATGCAACGTCGGTTGCGCGAAGTGCACTAGCTATGGAACTATGATGTTGTGTCGTATCCTGACTGCCACGTTCATCAGTCCTCCCCTTGCTATTGGGACTGCTGTTGTAATGGAGGTATTTTTTCAACATGAGCGTGGTCGGAAAATGGGAATTTGGGCGTGGGTAATCGTGCAAAAAGACCTCCTTTGATTATTTACTGACATGCTTTTGAACAAACAGACTCTTTGTCACACTCGGTCCTCCATGCGGCCCATTTGTAATGGGCTTCGTCACCTACCATATCGGATGGCAATGGATGTACTGGATCTTCGCAATAATCAACGCTCTCCAATTTATTCTGTATCTGTTCCTCGGTCCCGAAACTCGTTATATGGGTCACCGCCCTTTGGGCGTATCCCAAACCCAGGTTGAATACCTGCACTTTCGTCGTATCGACCCAACACCCTTTACTCTGTTTGAGTTCTACCAACCTATCTTGTTGGTACGATACCTCACAATCATGACACCTGTGGTTAGCTACGCTATGGTGTTCGGCTTCTGTTCTGTCATGAGCACTGTCGAGATTCCGGCACTTTTAGGACCGAAGTTCGGTTTCAACTCGCAAGAAATCGGATTGCAGTTCCTCGGGGTCATTATCGGGACCCTAACGGGTGAGCTAATGGGTGGGAATCTTTCTGATCTAGTTATGCGATGTGGCGCCAGAGCCCGAGGGGGTCGTCTCCCCCCTCTAGAGTTCCGATTATGGGGGAGTTATTTAGGATATTTGTGTGCAATAATTGGTGTAACAGTGTTTTGTGTGCAGTTGGATCGTGCACCACCGATGCATTGGAACGTCACTTTTATCATTGGTATTGGGATTGCTGCGTTTGGTAACCAAGTCATCACCACAGTTTTGATCACCTGTAAGTGCATTTCCCCCTCATTCCTCTGTCTCTGTTTTCATTTTCAATAAAACTACTAATAACAAGTGGTAAAGACTGCGTAGACTGCCATCCTGACCAATCCGCCTCTATTGGCGTCTTCGTCAGTCTCGTACGCCAATTTTGGGGTTTCCTGGGTCCCTTCTGGTACCCGGACATGTTCGCTACCCTTGGATTACGCGGTTCTGCAGGCCTAATGGTCAGTCTTATCATTGCAGTAGCTATTATTCCGGTAGCACTGCTGCATTGGAAGGGTGGAAGCCATCATGAGCAAAACGAGGATTAAGCAAAATGCATCAACTTTGCACTGAACTACAGAAATTTTGGCCCACAACTTGAACTAGTTCTGATTATATCCCCTGGGGATAGGCTGAGGCAAAAAATCCATCAAATCTTATACAATATTCTGTAGCTGGGCCGGCCGGTCACGGCGAAGTCTTGCGTATTTGATAACATGACAAATCTAGGTCGCGCCAACCTTTTCCTCTGTTCATCATTTCAATACCGTCTGATACTTCCAACATAAATGCTAGTAATATAATACCTTCTATCATTTATTAGATGTTCAGAACCGCAGTGCCCGTAATTCTTTTTGAGCTGGATCCAACAGAGAACAGGTATCGGCCTTTCGCAATCGCCCACTTCTGACCCATGGTATCCCAGTAGCTGATATCCCTCCTACGGATGCTCATGGTGACACTGGTAGAAGCGCCAGGAGAGATATTGACCTTCTCAAATCCCCGTAGTACACGCTTTGGTTGCGCTGCCTCGGCGGGGAAGCTGATATAAAGTTGAGCAACCTCAGCCCCAGCGATGCTACCTGTATTCTGAATATTGGTTGTTATCTGGATAACTTCTTCCCACAAGTCTTGGTGGCCGCCGAGGCCGAGACTGCCGGTTGGGTAGCGGGAGGCCAAGGCTGAGGCGTTGGTCACTTCAGCGGTCACGGTGCCAAATTTGAATGTGGTATACGATAGACCGTGGCCAAACTCATAACGTGCAGTGACATTCTGCTCGAGAAGAAATGTTAGCTCGCAAAATCCACCAAAGGCGCTGTCATCAGCTACCGCGGAGGCTGAATGAATTTTCTAACCTTGTTATCAAACCACCTGTAGTCGATATAAGCTCCCTCGGAAAAACCGCATTCGGCTGCATAGCATACGGAGGCAGGATAATCACCGGCATTACGACCGATGGTGTGAACTAGTTTACCACTGGGGTTTACATCACCATAGAGAACATCGACAATCGAGTGACCAGACTCCTGGCCAAGCATGCCACCGTAGAGGACAGCAGTCACGTTCTCATGGTCGATCCAAGATTCCACAAGACGCGGGCCAACAGTGTTGATGATAACAATGGTATTATTGCACTGTGCCGCCACGCGCTTCACCATTGAGTCCTGATCTGTGTTTGATAGCTCGCCACGATCCGCACCTTCACCCGAGTAGGTGTTCAAAAAAACGAGACAGGCTTCAGCATTCTGTGCGTAGTTAGAGTAGGAGAAAGACATGGATGTCCCCTCACCACCACCACCGACTGCACTTGCTGTGTTGCTGTTGCTTGTTGAAGTATACGTATCGTTCATGAGCCACCAAAACATGCCGCCATTTTCGACTTGACGAGAGGTTAGAGCCATGTGCGGGTCAACAACATAGGCAAAGGACCCAGAACCGGAGCCCGAGGGAGATACGAGATGACCTTGATACGTATCGCTGCCCGAGCCACTAATGGTGAAGGCGTGGTTTGGGCCGGCCATGGTAGGACCAGCATGTGCACCAAAGGCAGCCAGAGTGCGTGGTCTTTTCAAAGGAAGACCGCGACCACCAGATATGTTATTTTTGAGTAGCACCAGCGACTCAGCGGCAATCTGACGGATCAGGGTGGAATGATTACCGCGCACATCGCGATACTCTGTGAAATCCGCCGTAGCAGGTTGCTTCCCGTTGTCAAGCCCAACGTAAAAATAGCCAATGACATTGCGGATTGCCATGTCGTCCAATCTCGCCTGTGTTAGCGACCCGTTCCGGATACCAGCTGTGATGATGCTCTCGGACCAAAGTGAGCTAGACCCAAAGTCCAATCCGGCATTGGCCGATTTGAACGAAGTCTCCTGAGAGCCAACATCAGGAACAACAACTCCAGGGAAACCCAATTCGGACTTAAGGAGTGCGCTGAGGGCGGCTTCGTTCTCGCAAGATAGCGTGCCGTTAATTCTGTTCATCGCGCACATCACAGCGCCCATGCCAGCCTTTATTGCATCGGCAAACGGCCAAAGGTACACCTCATGAGTTGTTTTGTCATCAGCATTAGAGGAGTACGCTTGACTGGCCCCGGGACTGAGGGTTCTGGATCGATTTGTCTCCTGCTCGTACAGGAGGTAGTGGCGGCCAGTGGCGATCACTCCAGCTGCATTTTGACCAGATATGGATTTTTCCATGAAAATGCCACTCAGATAAGGATCGGGAGAAAACGCCTCGGCCTGACGACCACCCCAAGGGCTGCGACCTAATGGGCCACACTCCGGCCCGTAAACCAAGTTATACCCCATGCCATAGAATTCTTTGCCTGTGGCCAAGAATTGTTCATAGGCAAGATCACGATCCCAGGTCATCGACAAGGCATTAGCACCAGGGAATCCGGAGACAAAGTAGTTAAGATCCACACCGTTGACTCCATCTTTACCCTCGAGTGCTTTCCACATTCTATCAATTGAGCCTCCCGTGATGATCGTAACTTTCTCGGTGTTGTTGAGGGATGAAACGAGTGATTTGGCTTTCTCGTAGGCAGTTTGATACAATCCCAGGTTGACGGTACCTGACGAGAGCAATGCCGATGTTGGCGTCTTGTCCGTCAGGGATAGTGCGATACCGCTCAGAACCTGGGTCAGATAAAGCCCCCAAAACGGCTTCATGATAATGTAGATAAAAATAAGGAGCTCGGTATTGATGGAAGACTCCTGGGAGGTGGAAGAGAAACTGAAGGGCTGGGTGTTTTGATGCTCATTTATATATACATGACTCAGAAATCCTTGTTTAACCATGAAATCACCATTCTCAATCCTCTTGATATCGCACCAAAAACCCAGAACATTTAGTCTAATAGTGATCCTCAAGAGGATGAAGATTGCCCTTCTCCATTACCTAGTCTGGATGAAGCTGCGTAAGTTCCAGGACAAATAATCGACTCTAATTGAGCGTCTCCTCATTCGTCAGGCCCCACAAGGCTCCGGGTGGCCCCACGAACCTCCGGCTTGGCACATCAGCGTGGTACCGAATCTACTTTCAACCATGATTGTATTCAATTATTGCCTCCTGTGGATCTTTCAAAAGGGGGTTGGTTTCAAAGATTTCCATCATCCGGGCCCTGCATATACTTACTCAGCGGTTGCGATAGCCGCTGGCTCCGGCCATTTCCCGCGAGTCTATAATCGGAACATTCCTCAATCCATTGCGACGAGGACCCACCAATGTTTGCCCAAAAGAAACGTGGATTCAGTTCTCGAAACGGAAGGAGAAAAAGGGGGTATGGATCTGTCCGTCTGTCCGGCATCTTCGAAGAGTCCCAATTCTGTTGGCCTCTCTGCAGCTGTTTATGACAGCTATAAATATTGGCTTGCTTCCCTGTTTCTTCCTCGGCATCCATCATATCTACACAAAGTCGGTGATCATCCGATATTTGCTCCTGATAGCAATCTTCAAGCATTTCAGTGCTCTTCCTCATGAAGTTTGCTACTGTCCTCGGGTTCCTGACCGTGGGGGCCATTCCCCTTGCCATGGCTCTAGGCTCGAATGATGCCGCAGAAATTGCCAGCGGCTCAATGCCAATCTACGGCGATGATACCGCGTCAGTTGCCTTCCGACGAGCCATGGACCCCTCAGCCGCTCGTTCCAGATATACTGGATTCAATCAGTCGACTGAGGTGCTCAAGAAAGGATCTATCCGCCGCCACGGAGCCAAGGCCTTAGTCAGTGATATACTCTTTGAGCGCGACGTACCCATGAAGTTGCGGGACGGAACCACAATATACACTGATGTCTTCCGCCCTGTTGGCAATCGCCCAGTCCCAGCCATTATTGCCTGGAGTCCCTACGGCAAAGAAGTCGGCGGTCAATGGCTTGATGACGTCACTGACCGATCCGGCGTCCCGCTATCGGAGGTATCCGAGCTTCAAAAGTTCGAGGGCCCTGATCCCGCGTATTGGGTTGCACAGGGCTATGCCGTGTTGAACCCCGATGCCAGAGGTGCTGGTTCCTCAGAAGGAAACATCACCTTTTGGGGACGCCAGCTCGCGGAAGATGGCTATGACTTCGTCGAATGGACCGCAGAGCAGCCCTGGTGTACTGGCAAGGTTGCCATGTCAGGAAATTCGTGGCTGGCGGTTTCGCAATGGTTCATTGCTGCGGAGCAACCACCCCATCTGGCAGCCATTGCGCCCTGGGAGGGTCTCACTGATATGTTCCGTGACTCGAGCAACAGAGGCGGCATCGCAGCGGCTGCATTCAACGAAGAAATCATTACAACTTTCTCAGGCCCCAATTGGATCGAAGATGTGCCACGCATGACTGTTAACCAGCAGCTCATGAATCACTATTGGCAAGACAAGATAGTACGACTCGAGCGAATCAAGGTCCCAGCCTACATTGTCGCTAGTTACACCAACGCTGTGCATACTCATGGCTCATTTGAGGCCTTCCGCCGCATTCAAAGCCAGGAGAAGTGGCTCCGTGTTCATAACACCTCAGAGTGGCCGGACTATTATGAAAACGCTCATGTGCATGATCTCAATCGCTTCTTTGATCACTATCTCAAAGAAGAGAAGCACAATGGCTGGAAACAGACACCATCTGTCCGCCTTGCTATCCTTGACCCTGGCCACCAGGACGAGCTCAACCGTCCTCAGTCAGAGTGGCCTGTCTCCGGTCTCGAAACCCGATCGCTTTACCTGCAAGCGAACGGCTCTCTTAATACCCAGGCTCCTGCCTCAGCGGCCACAGTTGGATACAAAGTTGGTAGTACCTCAAGTAATTTGACATGGTCTTTACGCTTTGAAGAGGTGACCGAGTTGATTGGATATACTAAGCTGCGTTTATGGGTGCAGGCTGATGGCTCGGACGACATGGAACTGGCCATCACCTTAGAGAAGACTGATGCCAACGGCGATCCCTACATCGTCACAGGGGGCAGCGAGACATCGGACATTGTTTCGTCCACGGGATACTTGCGTGTCTCAGCTCGCCACCTGGATGAGGCGCAGTCTACACCCCTTGAGCCCTACCAAACCTTTGATAGGGAGCAGCCACTGAGCGTTAATGAGATTGTTCCCGTCGAAATTAGTCTTTGGCCAATGGGTCTGCGATTCCACCCTGGCGAGCATCTGCGCCTGACAGTCGCGGCAAACACAGTTGTTCCTTCCGACACTGAGTCTGGCTTTGGCGTTTCCGCAGTTCCCGTGCCTGCTGCAGGGGGCACTTTCCCCGCTGCATCGAACACCACGTTGAAGGTGCTTGGTGGGTCAAGCGAATTACCGGATAATATTGCCGCTCAGCGCGTTGCGACGCCAACAAGCCGCAACAATGGCACCCATTTATTCCACGTTGGTTGCCAATACGACAGCTACCTCCTTGTTCCCCTGAATGTGACCTCCTAAGTCGATGATTCGGTGCCTCTTTGATCTTAATCTGTTTCATAGTCTTCATTTTCCCACTGGCCGGGAGATCATTTGTTCTGACGGTCTTGACAGTCTCACTTGGCAGCTTTTTGCAGCTGGTGAATCTATCCACTGTTTTTTTTTATTCCTTTATAATTCACTTTGATATAGATAATTCGTTCTATATGAGAAAGGATTCCCTCCACGGGGTGCCCTATTCGGTCTAAACTTGTGGAATTTTGTAGATTTCAAATATGACGCATTCAACCAGAGCGACAACCATCGTACATACCAAGATAGTGTTTACAACTCTTCCAAGGTTCATGTCTACCGACCCTAGCTACAAATTGGGAAGTAGAAACCTTTGATCCTTTAAGTTGATAAAAAGTTAGGTATGCCGAGAGAAGAACTTTACCCACCTAGTGTAATGGGGAAACCGCGCCACATCCTCACGTGCGGCACAGCGTCCAAGATGGTATTTCTAGCCCTCGATCGCATAGCATAGAAATCAAGCATCATACACATATTCGAAAAACAGCATCTATTTCCTATTTTGGTCGTACACGGGGACTGCTTCTCTCCCCATGATCCCCGTCGAGCACTGAGCTCCCCCGTCGTCTTGTCTGCGATGTCAGACCGCCAGCGCGCTCTTCCCACTTCACTAGGTAAGTATTCGGATAAAGAAATTCTCGTAGCAATGTATGCACACACTACACTATCATGCAATTATATATAACTCCACAAATTCAGTGACACATGAGATTGTACAAACCAATGTTGTCTCCCGAGTCCCCATCGTTTCTAGCAAAGCTGGTATGAGGGTATTGTGATAGGATGGTGGCATGCCAACCTTGAAAGTAGTGAGATACGATTGAAGGAATTGGTTTTCCAAAATCCGGACAGTTTCTGTAATTCATCGCTCATACATTTAGTATGGCACTAGGTAGATGTATTGTGGCTTGAGAATCAATGGCGGCAATCACATTCTCCATAGCTAATAGCCGATCGGAAACAACGCTCTGACAGGCAATATCTCGCATGGTTTGTATGCCGGCATGAATGTAGGATGCATTGCTCAAAGAGGCATTCTCATCCAAAAGACAGTGGTAGCCTAGAGCCAAGCAAGCACTTTCAATGAATGAAATATTGTTGGAAGAGTCCTGCAATAATTAGCTAGCATTCTCGACGGTCATGAAGGATATCAATACCTTGAGTATCAACCCGGACTTGCAAATATCTTCGAGTAGCGATATGATCATTTTCGCGGATGAGACGGCTTTTTCAACACCGTCCGAGAGCCATGAGCTGTTCGAAGTTTCCCACGCCCCGAAACCTCCATTTTGGTATTGCGTGCTGCGAGACTGGCCTTTCCTTCTGTCCAATAACGCTAGGAATGGACGATGTGCCACGAGCATAGCGTAATGATACACTAGACTGACATTAGCGCCAGCCGACAAGTGTCAATCAACCCAAGGGGAGAACGAGACGGGAAAATTTACACATTAGCAGCAGATAAGATGTTGTTTGCCTTGTTTCATCTTGTAGTGATCCTCCAGAGCTAAATCCATACAATGTGTTAGCAAGCCTTGTGAGGAGTTTCTGTGCTTTGTCTGAAGATTGTAACAAGTCATGCACTGTAAATTCATCGTTGTTTTGAACCCGGTGAAGTTCATTAATGACTTGCGCAAAACTAACGAGGGCGGCCAAGACAGGCTCCTCATAACAGACAATGACATTCTTTATATGCTCGGCACCAAAAGAGGAAGGGCGTCCAAGCGAGGTACAGACATAGCTGGATCAGTGTCAATGGGGGTTTCCTTCCAGCAACGGCGATAACAAAGTGGGGGCAAACCTTTCATAGCAATAAAGCGACAGATAAGTAGTCCTCAAAACGTTGCGACCACGAGAGTCATCCCGTCGATCTGTGCAGCTTGCATGCTGCAAGCCCGCTGCAAAAGACCGCCTAGTCGCATCGCCAAGTAAGGCGTAGGCTGAATCCACTCGACCAACCTGCCACTCATACTGGGCGTATTCCTAGAAAGATCAGCCTGATGACTGGATTAAAGAGAAAGGGCGAGAACGTATCATTAAAATAGTCGCTTGAATTGCGGGAATGCTGGATGGCGACCCGGACATTTCATTGACCAAGAATTTTGCTTGTTGAAAAAGCCTTTCTCCCCAGTGATCCTGTTCGGTGAAAGTCGTCCCAATCGATAAGGCAGCAAAAAGAACCGCGTGCTGCGCGGGGGAAAAGTTCTTTGAAGCGCCTGGGCAATATATTTGGTTCAGCCAGCGCTCCAAGGAGGCGGCGGGTTGGAAGGGAAGCATGTATAGAAGCGTAGACGTATAATTTTTCAAGAAGTGGTCGGCTAATGCGAAAGGGAGTAAGCCGAGATTGACCTTCATGTCCTGGGACGGGCTCGAATAGAGATCATGTTGTGAGTTGAGAAAGATCAGGCGACGATATCCAAAAGCGTCCAAACAATTGTTAGCTAAAGTGATCTCATCGTCTCCACTATGGCATCCACCAATCCAAGAAGAAGGGAGCAGATGATAAAGATTGATGAGTAATGAGATATTGGAGGACGGTCCAAAAAATGCATTACATATTATTTCTTCGCCTAGAGAAGACTCTTGATGGGTGGCTTGGAAGGGTTGAATGAGTTTTGCTGCGTTGAAATTGGCCGTGCTTGTGACAAGCTCCTGGTGGTGTGGCGAATCTGTTTTTCGGCGGCGAACCTGGCCGAAGACACAGGGACTTGACCGTTCAGCACAGCTTCTGCAGGGTTCACGTCCGTCGCATTTGAGCTTCCGTCTTCGACATTCCTCACATGCTCTGCGAAGGCGTGATGACAAGGAATGACCTAAATGAGCTGCCATAGTATGATATGCGATTCCAATGAAGGGCCCAACACAGTGAAGGGAAATAGACGTGGAAGAACCAAGCGTGAATCCTTTTTGAAATTTGCACTAATCTGCTTCTGGAAGAGTTATATAATGCGCCATTCAAGTCACGTGATCTCTATCAATATGGATAACACTATGGGTATGCTTATGTACCTATCTGGGTACGTAAGTACACATGTAGTCTTGGAGGTTTTTCATCTCGGTATGAAATAATAGTTTGATATACTAAGTCGAGAAATATCTGACGGGCCAATACTGAGCATCAACCCGCATCCCTGTGCATTGTCGGATAGGGCTCCGAAAGGAATAAATGAATGGGAACATAGGGCATATTCGTATTCGCATTCATACTATTCATATCATGCATTTTGCCCGCATTAATGGATCTTCCATTTTCCCGGCTTTTGTATTACAGAAATACACGTTTCCACTCCCCATCTTGTATTTAAAGTGCCATCACGGCCTCGGTCAAGCATAAGTAGGAAATAACTTCCATGCAAACCATGTTCTAAAGTATATACCCTATATTTTAGGGCGAGGTAAGCTCTATGTGCTCTGCGTGATTATTTTTTGAGCGAAATTATATATATCTGTCAGGATGAGGAATTGATGTACTGGCTGGTACTGAACATGTCCAATAGAATCAGATGATTGATTATAGGTGTTAAAGATCGGTTGAACGATCTCAGGGGTCTATACAAATAAGCTTCGGCGTGTTACAACACCGTCCTTTCGAATGTGCCCGGGATACCGTCCGAATACTAGGGGGAATTGGGTGAACGATGAATAAGCCTGTACCAAAGGGTCCTAGTGGTATTTGACCACTCTCTCAGTTCGTCAAAATACCGTAGTAGGACAGGGCCTTCCACAGCATTTTACCATTCTGAGATCCTCATAATAGGGATTGCTCTAGTCCCCTGATCCGTACTAAAATGCGTTATGATGTTATCTCAGCTTCATGTTATCGGTGGTTAGTGCCAGGGTGGGCAGATTTGGAGGCATTTCCTGCAAGACTTTCGGCATGCAAATGGCTACTGGTGTTCTTGCAGCTTGGCTCCATGAGACTTGGACTCGCATTCACTAGCAATTTCTCTTTGGTCCACCATTGGCACGGGAGGCAGCACGGCAATTAGTTCATTGATTTCTAAGTACAGCCGAGGCCAATCGTTCCAAAACAAAGGTATCGGCTTTGGTTATGGTAGAATTTAGACATGTGGGGTGGATTATTCCCCACGTTTCCCCACATTTTAAAAAAGCCGGGGCAACCAAGGCCGTCTCGACCATATCATGCCCGAGCTTACAATTGGGAGGGTTACCCCGCGCGTAGGCGTCACGTCGGTAGTTGACACCAAAAGCTGACCGACCGTATCCTCATTGTACTTAAGCATCCTAAAGAACTTGACTCTGAAGATTCATCTTAACCGCACCAACTCATTCATTTCAACTTCCATTACACTTGTTAAACAAAAGCTTATTGATATGGCAGACTCAAAGCCACAGGGCGAGGGCGTGAAAAGGGCAAGGGTAGAGGATATCTCCTCAGGTGAATTGCAGTTGACGGAGGAAGAGCGTCGTCTCGATCGAGAGACCCTCGTACGATTGGACTTGCTGCTCATGCCTTTGACTCTAATTCTATATCTTCTGGCATGGCTAGACCGAGCAAACGTAGGAAATGCCCGCATTGTAAGTCTAATTTTCTAATATGTCGACCCATTGTTGACTCTTTCTCATGTCTTATAGGCTGGGCTCGATAGAGACCTCAATCTCTCCGACCATCAATACAAAGTTGGTTTGGAAACCCACCCTCTATCAATGACGGCTGATTCTAACAAGCTTAGCTATTACGGTCACCTACGTCCCCTATATTCTAGCCGAACTCCCATCCAACCTCATCCTCAAAAAGATCGGACCGCGCATTCTTCTCCCTACGCTTTGCACAATCTGGGGCACGGTCACTATCCTACAATCTCAGGCCAGCAGCTTTGGCGGTTTCGTCGCATGCCGGTTCTTTCTCGGCCTGTTCGAAGGTGGTCTCTTCCCAGGCATCGTCCTCTATCTCTCTGGCTTCTACCGCCGGCACGAGCTCCAGGTGCGCATCGCGCTTTTCTTCTCGGCCGCCTCACTCAGCGGAGCATTTTCAGGCCTACTTGCGGCAGCAATAGAACAAATGGATGGTCTACGCGGCCTCCGCGGTTGGCAATGGATCTTCATTCTGGAAGGAGTTTTTACCGTCTGCTTCGGCCTTTGTTCTTTCGTCATCTTCCCTAATTCTCCCGCTAACGTCCTCACTTTTAAATCCTGCCACATCGACCGCTGTTCCGCCCGCCTTCGAGCGGACGGAAACGCCCACGACGACGAGCAAGTTTCTGCCCGCGCCGTTTTTTCCGTCCTCAAAGACCTTCATGTCTGGTGTCTCTGCGCTGTTCTTTTCTGCAACGGTGTCTGCCTCTTCGGCCTGGCGTACTTTTCACCTTCGATTGTCCAAACCATGGGCTACAATAACACCACTACCCAGCTCCTCACCGTCCCACCCTACGCCTGTGGCTTTGTTATTACCATGGCCGTAGCATACCTGGCTGATCGCTTCCAGCAACGTGGCCTCAGTGCTCTTGGCTCTTGTGGTATTGCAATGATCGGTGCAATCCTCATGCTCCTCGGTCGCAGTGTCGCAGTTCGCTACGCTGCGCTCGTCGTTTTTGTAACAGGAATATATAGCTGCGCACCGTGCCTAATCAGCTGGGTCCCGAATAATAGTGCGGGCTATAGTCGACGAGCCACTGCCGTCGCTATGGGGTTCATTTCCACTAGTTCGGGCGGCATACTAAGCACATGGATTTATCCCAAAGCCGATGCGCCGTATTATCAGCTCGGCGCGAAGGTCAATCTATCCTTGTCCGCTATTGGGATGGGGCTGGCTACTGTGCAAATTGGGTTGCTAGTGCTTTTAAACCGGCGGAAGAAGGTGACAAGGACGGAAATTCTAGATGGGCTTGAGGGACATACTCTCGAGGACCAGAAGGCTTTGTTAGGTGATCGGCATCCGGATTACCGTTACACTTATTAGTCTCCTATGGCGAGAAAATTTGAATCGGAGCTGCTTAGTATACCATACAATTGTACTATCTCGTTGTAATGTGCCTGGCTTTAACAGTTTTCTGCCAGAGTAACATCGTCAACGATAGGCCAGTGTCTATTAGCCAAAAACAGGCACATACTACAACCTCTATATAGGGGTATTTACAATTTTTTTTTTTTTATACTTACCCATATCATATATAAGCTCGAATATAAAGCCTATTCTATCAGGCAAAAGCGGTAACAGAAGTACCTTTTAAAATCTATATTTTAGAATATATTTTATTTTTACTGGTATCTAGAGACCTTATATAATATAGATCAACTATGTATTTATTTTTATCTATCTTATTAAATTAGTTATAGCTAGTTGAAGTTTCGTTGTAAAAATTGAAGTTTTGGTCCAAAAGTCTAATTAGGTATAGTGTTTGGTCGAAAAGTCCAATTAAGTATAGCGTTTAGTCTAAAAGTCCTAAAATAGAAATTCGTCCAAAACACAGAAGTACGGCTTAGTCTAAAAGTTAGAAGTTTAACTTCGGTGTTTTAGACTATACTACATACACTACTAATAACTATATGGTCTAAAACATAGAAGTACCGCTTAGTCTAAAAGTCAGAAATTTAACTTCGGTGTTTTAGACTATACCGCACTTCTATATTTTAGACTATACCGCACTTCTATGTTTTAGACTATACTATACTACTAATAACTATATAATCTAAAATACAGAAGTACGGCTTAGTCTAAAAGTCAGAAGTTTAACTTTAGTATTTAGGACTATACCGCACTTCTATATTTTAGACTATACCACACTTCTGCGTTTTAGACTATACTATACTACTAATAACTATATAGTCTAAAATATAGAAGTACTACTTAGTCTAAAAGTTAGAAGTTTAATTTTAGTATTTTAGACTATACTATACTTCTATATTTTAGACTATACTATACTACTACGTTTTAGACTATACCACACTACTAATAACTATATGGTCTAAAATATAGAAGTACCGCTTAGTCTAAAAGTCAGAAGTTTAACTTCGGTGTTTTAGACCATACTGTACTTCTGTATCTATTAGCCAAAAACAGGCACATACTACAACCTCTATATAGGGGTATTTACTATTTTTTTATTTTTTATACTTACCCATATCATATATAAGCTCGAATATAAAGCCCGTTTATTTTTACCTATTTTATTTAATTTGTGGTAGGGGTTGGAAGTTTTTTAACTGGATTGGTAGCTTTGGTTTAAAATTCCGAATTAGGTTAGTATTTAGTCTAAAATTCCTAAAAGGGAATTATTAGTCGAAAATACAGAAGAAGTTATCTATATTTCAGACTATCCTATTCTCCTATATTTTCGACTATACTATTCTTCTATATTTCTAACTATTACCTAGACCTGGCAGTGACCCTCCATTTAGACCCGTCTATTAGCTAAAAACAGGCACATACTACAACCTCTATATAGGGGTATTTACTATTTTTTTATTTTTTATACTTACCCATATCATATATAAACTCAAATATAAAGCCCGTTTATTTTTACCTATTTTATTTAATTTGTGGTAGGGGTTGGAAGTTTTTTAACTGGATTGGTAGCTTTGGTTTAAAATTCCGAATTAGGTTAGTATTTAGTCTAAAATTCCTAAAAGGGAATTATTAGTCGAAAATACAGAAGAAGTTATCTATATTTCAGACTATCCTATTCTCCTATATTTTCGACTATACTATTCTTCTATATTTCTAACTATTACCTAGACCTGGCAGTGACCCTCCATTTAGACCCGTCTATTAGCTAAAAACAGGCACATACTACAACCTCTATATAGGGGTATTTACTATTTTTTTATTTTTTATACTTACCCATATCATATATAAACTCAAATGTGAAGCCTATTTATTTTTACCTATTTTATTTAATTTGTGGTAGGGGTTAGAAGTTTTTTAACTAGATTTATAGCTTTGGTTCAAAATTCCGAATTAGGTTAGCGTTTGGTCTAAAATTCCTAAAAGGGAATTATTGGTCGAAAATGTAGTAGAAGTCGTCTGTATTTCGGACTATCCTATTCTCCTACATTTTCGACCATACTATTCTTCTGTATTTCTAGCTATCGCCTACCCCTAGAAATTCGATAATATTAAATTTCTATTTTAATATATTATAGATACTATTTAGTGCTCCTAGTTAGTAAATACTGCTATACGATTATAATTTCTACTTATTAAAGTAGAATATAGCCTAAAACGTAGTAGTTTACTATGATTTAAAATTAATTATTATCCGACAGTCGGAAATGTAGTAGTTAATATTAGTCGAAAATACCGGAGAACCTGATAGTCGAAAATATAGAAGTTCGGCTTAGTTAAAAATGTAGTAGAAGATATCTATATTTTAGACTATCCCCTTATCCTATATTTTAGACTATCCTATTCCTCTGTATTTCTAACTATCCTATATCCCCTAGATTTATATATATTATAGATACTTATTAGTTCTATTAGTTATAAATTACTACTATATAAGTATAATTTCTGACTGTAGGGCTTAGGGCTTAGGGCTTAGGGCTTAGGGCTTAGGGCTT